ATGTAATTAGGTCTTTCTTATGTTTGTATATGTTTTCCCTATTTCATTTTAGGGTAATGGAATGAGAATACGTATATTGCAGCCTCCATCAGTCTCTCTCTCCTTCAGTTTCTATAGTTTCGAACCAAGATATCCAGTATCCTATAAAAGATCAAGAGTATACTTCCGCTGAGAGAGAGAAAATACCTAAGTTTGCTCATATCCTTATTAAGAAAGCTAGAACTAAAGTGATGGATTATAACTTGTATTCCATCTCTATCACTGCCGGTGATAACGATATCATCTACATATGCCACAAGAATCACAATATCACATTTCATTTACTTTCAAAAGAGAGTGGTCAGCCTGGCTTCTGGTCATACCATGTGTTACCACTGCTTTACTCAAATTATCAAACCATGTACGAGGGGACTGTTTAGGGCCATAGATAGACTTCTTGAGATGACACGCAAACTCCCCCTTGGACTCAAACCCAAGTGGTAGACTGTCTCAGTAAGACTGTGCAGAAAGGCATTTTCAATGTTCTCTCGTTACCCACTCCAAACCCTAACCGCCCTTATATACCAGGCTACAAGAGAGTTCTAAATAGGGTCCAAGGCCAGCAAGCAAAAAAAATGGGTCAAAATTTTTTTTGGCTCTAAACCGGGTCACAACGCCATCCAGGCTGAAACCAAATTTAGGCCACAACATCACAGTTTTTTTTTTTTTTTTTGTGTGTTCTAGTATCATACAATAAGTTAATAGAAATTTAACGGATCTGGAAAGTATTGCTTTCTATGATAAAGTTTATTTAATATTTTGAAAAGGCCATTTTCCTACTGGGCATAAGCTCACCCTAACATTTTTGTAGAGAATGATGACCCAGAAGAAAAGCCCAAAAAACCTAGCACAAAGTCAAGGAATCTTGGTGATTCTGCATGATATTTTAGTAGTAGAATTTAATATAAAGCAATGGAACGATCTTCATGTCTTCTACCATTTCATTTGTTTAGTTCAAAGACTCATTATGGGAGGATATTTGAATATTAAATTCCTTGAGGAAACTAGAATAACTTTGTAGTTGAGTACGTGATATTTATGAGAATGTCTATGCTACTTATGGTGCTTTTTGTCAAACTTTGTTTCATTTCACAATTTTAATTTGAACATAGTTGTGCAATTTGGTATGCTTCCACTTTGAATTCTTCATGTGTAGATTGTACTGGTGGTAGTAAATTTATGCTGGCCATGGAACATTATAAACGTCACTGCTGTAGAAAAATTCTTGCTGCAGAATTACTGAACTGAAAAATATAGCTTAATATTTTTAGACCTCAAAAATTCATGGGATTTGGTGAATCATAAGTTTTGTCGGTTTATATTCAAATAAAAATTTTATCATGTAAAAATACATCATAGAGACTTTTAACAAAGTCCATAATGTTCACTTGTACAAGCAGAAATCACATAAGACAGCTTGTTGTTACAGTTTTTAATTGACTTGTAAAAATGAAATCTGTTAAGGACGTGAACCACAAATAATTTTCTGCACAAGTCTTTAAGTCTACTTTCATTTGATGCAGGTTCGACCCTAATCGGACATGCGGTTTTTGAGTTCTTAATTTTTAAAAGTCAAACGGTCCTATTAGACAAAATGTTTAAGAATGTGTTTGAAGTGTGTTAAACTGAAATTTTCAAATAAATAAATAAAATTATATACGTTTTAATCACCCTGTACTTGAATTAGAAAATTTTAAGTGTCGAGCGTGACAAAATGCTTTAAATTGTACCAGTGGAAGTGATTCATTGTAGCAGTCCATAACTCAATGGAGAGAGTAGAATTTGTAGACAGCCTTGTTGTACAGGTTCAATTTTGAACTTTAGTTATCTGTGCATTAAAAACTCCTATACTGTCAGGATTCAGACAAAAACAAACTCATTTTTATTACACTAAACTAAGCTGTCCCAGTTTAAAATCCATTTTGTACGAGCTCAAAAGTCACTGCCTAGATTTTTTTTTTTTTTTTTTTTGATAAGTAAGTCACTGCCTAGAATTTTATAAAATTTTCACAGCAGTTGTATCGGTTTTTATGTTACTAGAGTAACTACTGCCGGTTCAATCACATATTGTACCAGTGCAACTCATGCACTTTTGAAAATCAGTTGAAACACATGTTTGGCGATTTTCAAAAATATATCGAAACTTCAAAATACTCGAGGCATGATTCAAAAACACTTTTAAGTGTGCCTAAGCCTTGGCCTTTGTGAATACATTGCTAGTTCACAACCCACTTACCATACTAGAACTTCACCGTGTGGCTTGAACTTATTGTCTTTGCAGCTCTGTACTCGTTTAGTCATTTAGGCACAAAAACAAAATACCACACAAGGCTTCTGTTAGAAAATTTGCCCCAACACATTAGACGCCAAGTTCCAAAAACATCTAGTTTTTTAAGGTCTACCTCTCTGTCACTTTGTCTCTTACGTTCTATTTTAACTAGTGGTCTCTTTATGGGTGAATTTTGTGGTTTACCTTATACATGACCATGCCATCTAAGGCTACTTATTCTTATTTTATCACTAATAGGAGTCGCACATAATCGTTCTCCAACATGTTGATTACCATTCATATCTCTTCTCTTCAGTTTACTCATACAATCCATCATAGCATCATAGCATCCACATTTCATTGAAGTGAATGTGTTGTTCTTGCTTCTTTTTCAATGCCCAGTATTCTACATTATAAGATATCTGGTATAATAAGTAACCTATAGAATTTCCCTCTAACCACATAAGATATCACCAGCTTATCTCCACTTTACCCAACCTATTCTATTCCTACTTATTGCATCTTCATCTATTAACTCATCATTTTCTTTTATCAATCTTAAATACAGAAAATGGTCATTTTGAATAACCCTATAATCTTGAATTGTTGTCATTACATTGTCATGAACTATATTATTGTTAAATTTATATTCCAGATATTCTATTTTTAGTTCTATCAATTTTTAAACCTTTGACTATAATTAATTTCCCAGGTTCCGATTTTTATTGCTAGAGTTTCCTTTGTAGTGTCTAATTAAACTATGTCATCCGCAAATAATACGCACCATGGAATGTCTCCTTGTACATTTTGTTATTTCATCTATCGTATGTAGATATGCTTAGTGGTAATCCTTGGATTAAATCTCTTGGTACCCTAGCGTATGCCTTAACTAATTCAATAAAAATCATGTGTAAAAAAATTCTTCTTTTTACTTTGACAATCTTTCATTAATTGTCTTAATAAGTAAATAGCCTTTATACTGGATATCCCTAGTATAAATCCAAACTAATTATCAGACACAATTGATTTATTCATTAATCTTTTTTAACTTGATTCCCATAACTTTAAAGTGTCATCACTCTTTAACTTGATTTCTTTATGGTTGCTGCAATTTTTTTACATCCCCTTTATTTTTATAAATTGGTACTACAGTGATGATTCTTCATTCATTTGGTATCTTTTTGTCTTTCAAAATCTTATTGAATAAATTTGTTAACTATTCAGTTCTTACACTTCCCAGAGTTTTCCAAGTCTTAATCAGTATTTTTTTAAGGTCCTACAGTTTTATTCCTTCCCATCTTTACTGATTTGACGTATCATTCCTATATTGAGTACAGTATTCTCAATTTTCTCCATACGACATTCTTCATTTAATAAAATTTCCTTGTTTTTAACTAATATTGTTTGGTCTATGTCATTAATGCATCTAACTTGATCCACATCTCTAGTCAATTTATGTCTACTTTTTACTAGCAAGTAAATAGTTCTTTCACCTTCTTTTGTACCAAAATTTTCATATAAATCATCTAGTGCATTTTGTTGAACTTCATCTACAATTTTCTTAGATTGTACTACATCACTCCACCAACACGTTTCTTCCTTGGTAAATTTCTTCCTTTTGTTTCTCCTGGGATGTACTTAGCCACATTTCTTATGAATTTGTATTGAATATAGATTATTATGTTGTCATTCAAGTTCCATTGTTTTTTTTTTTTTTTTTTTGTAATACTCTCTCTTAAAATTTTATCTCATTGTTAACTTCTATTTCTTTCCACTTTTCCATTCTCATAGTCTTGTCTTAATCTCGGATATTTAACTCCTTCAATCGCTAAATCAAATAACCAAAGGTTCTATCTTAGTGGAATCTCATTATGTTTCAAAGTAGGGTTCAATTCTCCTTAGAGGCACAACGGGTGTGTGACTGCGAGGACCAAAAAAAAAAAATGGCTAAATCGAATATAAGAAGTCAATCTTGGTTGATTTTACCTTGGGAATACCTTACAGTCATTACATGTTGTTCACTTTCTTCTTTTATATAAACGGTAATCAATCTGTGTCTCATTCCAGCAAGTTATAAGCGTTGACCAATCTCATCAAAATCAGTCAATGACAAAATTGAACAGATGGCCGTCATTTGCCATACTCATTATTAGTTATAAGAGACCAATTTTCTTGAACCTGATTGCAGCATTAATTTTAAGTCTCTATTGCTGACAGATTTAAGGTCCGACTATGAATGAATGATTTTCTGCAGGCCTGACTGTAACAGATCAACTTTAGTTCCAAGTCTAATCGAATGTGAAAGAAATTGAGGTCTACTGCAAAAAGCAGTCAACTACATCCACCCGTTGTTCACCCGGCCATGAACGAATACCGATCATATTGGTATTTAAACAACAACAAAACCAATGCTAATCCATACAGTTCTATTGGGTCAGGGTTCAAATTTGTGCAAATTGTACACTTAAAACAGTAATTATAAGCAATCATATATTTTTCTAGCACAAATAGCAGTAATCAGTAATTCTATCGATAAGCACGAAGAATGAGTAACAGATAATCCGAATGTTTGATTCATCACAGTTATTCAAAGTTTGCTGCAATAACGACTACAATATATATATATATATATATATATATATATATAGGAAAATAACAAAGGTGAATCAAAATATGTTTCAAAGTTAGTTACCTTCAACCAAACTTCGGTGTTCTTGGGTAAATTGGGAAGATTCCATTTGTGAATTGGAGTAGGAAACTGATAGCAATCAAACAAAAATTAAAGCAGATCAAATAAAACGCCAACACTATCTATAATTGCGCATAGTTAGAGAGAGATAGAGAGGGGTTTATTACGTGTCCAAGCGAGAAGGCGTGAGAGGGAATGGGGTTGAGACCAGAGGCCCAGGAAGGAGGTTGATATGGTTTGTTTGAGAAAAAACCAGATACGCTCGGTTGTGGTTGTGATTTGGGTATGTCCATTGTTGCTTTGTGAGATAAATTGCTTCGATAAGAGCAGTGGAGGCTTTGTAGTGGTTGAATGAACCCTATTATTGTTATCTTGTTGTTGATCGGAGGTCCTGTCAAATGCCGGATTGACATTGGATTTCACTACAGCACCAACTGTCCCCCAACGTTTCCTTTATTGGGGACATTTTGGTTCAGCTTCTTAACAGAGTTTTCTCTACATGTATGACTGAAATACGGGAACAGTTTTTTACTAACAGTTCTAAAATAAATTACAAAGAGACTGTCAGGGGCTGTCCCTTGCGCGACACTCCCTCTACAGTTCACACTAGCCCCTCTAAACAGTTTTGGACATCATACGAATGGTGGTATTAAGAAACATTTTTATCCTATTACGACAACAAAGCTAGTCAAAATACTAGGACTTACCTAGGGCCTGTTTGCTATTTTTAATTTCTAAAAATATAAAGTAAAAGTACAAATTATGTTTATTAAGATGATTTTACTTTTCAACTTTTAGAAAGTACTTTCACATTTAATGAAAGAAAGAGAAAGTGAATATTTGTTACTTTCTCTATTTTCTCCACCGTACACAGAAAATACTTTATGTTACTGTAGCATTCACTGACCCATCAGCCGAGTATCACCCATTTTGAGCATCAACCATCATCCTTTCCCTCTCTATCATCATCATCTCATCCCACCAACTGGCAACAATGGAAGACACTAACCACCGACAACGATGTAAGACACCACCCGGCCACCACACTCTCTCTCTATCAATATCGCTCTCTGTCTATATAGACGAACACAACGATGCTGAAGAAGACGATGATGTAGCTTCAATTTCTTTGTATTCGATATCGGATCAAGCCCCAATCATTCTTTCTCTGTATTCAAAATTGGATTGAAGCACCAATCTCTCCTCTCTCATACACACCATCAACAATATACCCAAATCCATCAACCAGTCACAGAAGAAGAAGAAGAAAAAAAACCCCTAAAGGGCAAACCCTCGCCATCGACAACCACCGCCACCATCACCATTGCCGACAACCACCTCCACCATCGCCACATCCGAAATCTTCTTTGGTTTATGTTAGAACACCTCCCTTCTATGTCTCTCTCTTTCTCTCTTTACAAACACTCGCTTCTCACGGAGGAGCTATTGTCGATGGCGAAACCCACCATCAAAATCAAAGGATTCAACAGAGGATCTCTATCGGGCAGCTCGAATTCGTCAGAGGAAGAACAAATGGAGGCTCAAATCAACTAAGAGGAAGATGAGGAAAACAACGTCAGTCGCTGATGTTGACCAACGCGGCACACCAATTTCTTGCCATGCCTTGTACATTTGGTTTCAATCACAAAATCCTTAAATCAACCAAGTCTTCTTATTCATTTGATTAAAAGGCAGGTGAAGCCCTCAGAGGATCTTTGGCCTCATCTAAACACTCTCTCTCTCTAGAAAATTTTGCATAGTGTATATATATATATATAGTGAACATGATTCTTCACCAATTTCTTCCCATGCCTGGTGGTGGTCCATTCCGGTGTCAATTGCAGCAGTGACGAATTTCTTCCCATGCCTAGTGGTGGTCCATTCCGGCGTCAATTACAGCTGTGATCATATATATATATATATCATATAAAGAGTATACAACATTGATTGTAAATTTAGAAAACAAAATCAAAATTATAATTATTAAACTTGCTTTCTAATTTCTTGCTTTGAAAATATTGAAAGCATAAAAAATCAGTAAACATAATTCTACTTTGTATTTCAGATTCAGGAATGAAAATTATGATTTTACTTTTGAAGAAAGCAAAAGTAAGAAAGTAAAAGCGTTAGTAAACAGGCCCCTATAGCATCACTTTCTCACTTTCATAAAACAAATTTCATAAAGTTTCCAATTCTCTACTACAAAGCATTTAGATACTTTGGAGTTTTTAAGTAATCATGACATTAATTGATACTTAAATAACTTGATCTTCACTTATATATAATAGACACACATATATACATACTTACACAACCTGATCTCATTATTATACTGCCAACATAATACTAATTTGGAAGTCATATTGCAAATTAAAAATCTCCACCAACTTATTCGATTTCTCTACTTTCTCTCCCTTCTCCTATCTATCCTAAAAATTTGTCATTTAAATTATACTTGGCTGCCATTACATTCATGATACTATATTATTTTTCTTAGTTAAAAAAGCAATCATTAAAGTTACAATTAAGCAAATCCTAGTTTATTTTATTCTAATCACTAAATATTCTTATTTGATAACTTTTATGTATTATTTTGATATTTTAACAACAATTTTAGTCTTAAGTTTTAATTGAGAAGTTGAATCTTGTTTGTATCTGCATAAGAGGAAAAAATTATTATCATAGTTAAAATTTTTATTATTTACTTTTCGTATTACAATTATGAAAATAAAAAGGTACGAATACCAACAAGTCTGTGGCCTAGTGGTACAAGGCTCCTACTTTTCAAAAGGAGGTCAGAGGTTCGAACCTTAGTGGAGGCAGTGTATGTGAGTCCCAACTAGGAAAAAAAAATAAAAAGGTACAAATATAAAAGAGTAATTTAGTTCTGAAAAGGTTAAGCTTTTAAAGTTACATAAAAATAGGAAAGATGTATTAATTATAACTTTTAGGTTTTTTTTTTTTTAACAAATCAGAGGAGCGAGTGTGGAGGAATAGTCACGTCACTATCACCGTCACCATAACCACCACATCCACCAACTTCCACCACCACCGCCACCACCTCCACTACCTTCCACCACTGTCATTGCCACCACCACCACCATCACCATTATCGCCACCATTGTCGTCGCCTTCCACTTGCACCACTGTCACTTTCCACCATTGCCATCGTCGCTACCACTGCCGTTGCCACCTCCACCGCGTTCCATCACTGTTTTTTCCACCACCATTGTCACTATTACCACCACCACTACCGCCGCCTTCTACCTTCACCACCTTTGCCTTCCACCACCTCCACCTCCACCTCCACTGCCTTCCACTACCTTCACATCCATTTCCTTCTACCACTGCCACCTTCCACCACCATCGCACCACTACCATTTCCTTTCGCCACATCCTGTGATACCTCTCGATTCTAAAGCCACGGGTGATCAAGTCCGAGCACAGATCCGAGGGATACCAAACAATAAAATATGTAAATGAACACAAAATACAAAAGAATAATAAGAAATAATTAAATAAGCTAAAAGAAATCTAAATAATAAAATAATTCCATAATTTCAAAACCTCCAATACTAAAACAATTCGGGAATCCATCTAGTGGACCCCTAATAAAATCCCAACTGAAAGTAAATAACTGAAATCAAAACCAAAGCTAAACCATGAAGGGAAATCCTATGTAGTCGGAAGAGTGAGTGACTGTCTCTGCTCAGCACGAACAAGCTCTAAGTCTGGAACTGACGAACACCTGAAAAAATAAGAGTGGGTCAGGCCCACGAACAAGTTCTACTCTGCTATAATCCAAACAGAGACCCGATACACAGATACATCCTAGATGACTCAGCAATAACTATATAGTCCATATATGTATAAATACACACTATAGGACGCTCATTAGCCTATAGGTCTGTCTCAACCTGAATAAAAGGTAATATACAAATCACACCTAAAGTGGGCATGTATACCTAGACTTACCAGGGAACCAGGTATCTATTATGTCCAGTTATTCATCCTAGGCAATATACGCACCCTAACCATGATCTTGAGACTCAAGCTCATATCACGGTACCATAATCATATATATATAATTCCATCCAAAAACTAAGGTATGTCATTCAATTGTTTATTGACCTGACACGGATATAAATAGGACTTAACTTTTATAGTTAATCCATTTCCTTTTAATAGAATAAGTAGGACTTAGTGTTTTGAACTAATTCATTCCTAATATGCCACCGTCCCATACTGGTGCATATAATCCACAAATCTAATAATTGATGAAGTAGAAATAAATAGTTCATCAAACATAATCCAGAATAAGCATAATAAAAATCTGATATGTATATGTCTATATTATGCATCCAACACAAGATTTAAAAATCATGTCACGGTCATTTAAATTACTAAAAATAATATTAAGCAATTAAATCCTCTATATCCGTTAATAGCATGCAAACTTGTTTAAACTTTCATACTGTTCAAATCATTAGCATATAAATATAAATTATGCATTATGGGGTTTTAATATATTATGAAATATTATTTAGCATCCCATTATTAACCCAAAACAGTTTTGGAATCCCATAACATCCAAACAGTGCCTAAAAAAACTCCAGTACGTGTCAAAGCAAAAGAGCCTGCTCTTTTCGAAAGGAGTCTGCTCTTTTTCAAAAAGAGCCGTCTCTCGACCTGCTGTAACCTTCCTTCTCCATCTCCGGCGACCTTCAACCCCTCTATTCTCCATTGTTAATGGTCCTAAGGATCGAACTATGTCCCGAATTATTCCAGATTATTATATAAATTTAGTATGCATCATTAACAACAATTTATACACATATGATGAAACAATTGATACGATAACCCAATTTCAATTTCAAACACAATATAAAGTTTAATTTATGGATTAACATGCATACAAGGCCAAATTTAATGTCTGATTAATCCTCGAGATTATCTAGGCATGCACAGAACACAAGTCTAAGAGAAAGAACTTGCCTTTGAGATTTCGGATTAAAATCTCAATGTAGTCATCCTAGATTTTCTGGCAAATCCTCGACTGTTCTCCACTCCTCTACTGCTCCTGGTTTAACCCACAAGTAGTCTTCAATAACCTCCCCTTGGTTCAGCTTTTGCTCTCGGCAAAAACCCCAGTTCATTCCCTCAGTTCCCTCTCAAACCTCTCTGTAATATCTCTCTACCGACACTGTTACGTGAAAAGGGTTCTAAAACCCTTGGCAGACACATAACACTATATATATAGGCTTATATGAAAACCTAATTCTAATTAAATGAGGAAACAGAAACGAAAAATAAAATAAAATATAATATAAAAGAATTATATATATATATATATATATATATATATATATATATATATATATAAGTCTGCCATCCCACACGTAATAATCACATATATATATTAATCCCTAAAACTATATAATACATAGATACAAAATATTAATTCTAATTTAATTATTAATAATACTAATAATTAAACTAACCTTATATACACATATATCCATTTATATATGTATAACCATCCATAGGTAATAA